ATATTGTCTTACTAATTCAATTCAACAAGTATTTGTTGAAAGCTAATAAACAGAATTTAAAGTTTTACTTTGAAAAGACTTTATTTCTGTATTTTGTTCAAACCAATACAATCTTTTGGTAACAAACTAATAAATAAGTCTTTAAGTGACTACAGTCATGTTAACTTAACATAAAGATGTGCTTTTTACTTTGCAAAGGGCTTTCTCATGTTACATACTGGTACTGTTTGATAATTACAAGTCACTTTATTAGAATCTTTTGTCTATTGATCCTTTGGGTTTCTTTAGTTCTGTCCAACTGGATAATTTATGCCAATCTCATTCAAGCAGTAGGGGCAGATAAGACTATAGAGTCCTACTCACCCAAAGCTTAGCCATCTCATATACTGCTTTCTAAGGAAATCAATCTAACACATATTGCCTTATCTACAAATACTACACAGTACTTTGTATACCTGTCTTCTATTGTTAAAAAAAAACAAGTTTAAAAATCTAAAAAGATCCAAACATATACCTATGAGGCATAGTGACATAGTAAATTAGGAATCAAAAAGGTCTTATAACCTATTTTTTTTCTTTCCTTCCGTATTCTATGTATCAAAAAGGTCTGACAGCCCAATTCTTCCCCTACAAACCTGACAGGATTGTAAATTCCTCCCAATTATTACTTCCTAAAGATATAACTCCTAATGCCCCCTTCCTTCTGCCTGTTCCCATTTGGATTAGTTGCTTTCTAGGTCTGCAGCACATGTGACTACCTAGGGCTTTCCTTCCCTATAACCGTGGGAATTTCTTCACCTCTCTCCTATGTTGGAGTCCTTGTATCCTGGGTTCTGTATCTTCCTCTTTCTTGATTTCATCTCTCATTCTGGGGAAATATATCCTTCAGTAACTTTCTGAGAAAGTATATAAGACAGGTAAACATTTTCAGACCCTGTATATCTCAAAATGGATTTACTTTACTCTTCACACTTGAATGAAAAGTTTGACTGGGCATAAAATTCTAAGTTAAAAATCACTGTGCAAAATTTTGAAGTTATTACTCATTATCTTTTTGCTTTTTTAAGGTGGAAAGTCTAAGGCTATTCAGATCCCTCTAACTAAATTATGATTCCACCCTCCCACCCCTACTCCAGACCAAGAAGCTTTTAGGATTTTTCTCTATTCCTAGTGTTCTTAAATTTTATAATGATTTGCCATCAAAGTCTTTTTATTATATTAAGCTGGTCATTTTCATTATGAAAACTCATATCCTTCAGTTCTGGAAATTTTTCTTCTAATACTTCTTTGAGAATTTCCTTCTTTATTCTGTTTCTAAAATCATGCTAGGTAGATATTGAGCTTCCTTGATTGAACTTCTAATTTGTCTTGCTTTCTGTCTACTTTATTGTCTTTTGTTTCACTATCTGGCCTACTTCAATTTTATCTTCCAACTTGTCTAATTTTTTAGTAGTCTGATTACACTTTAAATCTCAAGAGCTCTTTCTCATTATCTTTGTATTTTGGGGGGGTTTTTGTTTGTTTTTGTGTGTTTTGGGGTTTTTTTTTATTGCATCCTACTCTCTTTTAATGGATCCAAAATCTCTAGAAATGTTATACTTGATAATTTTTTGAAGTTTTCGCCGGTGACTTGCATTGTTTTCTTTCCTCTGATTTCTTTTGTTCTGGGCTCTGTGTTTTATGTGAAAAGATTTTCTCAAAAGACCCGTGATCTCTGGCTGACTGCTAATATTAAAAGTAAAGGACTAAAAAACGAACTAGTAACAGTAACCCAGATTTTCTGATTATCAGTTCAAAGTTCAGTTTAAGCATATTGTGATACCATTGTCTCCCAAATTTTGAAGACAAGCCAAATTACTTATTTACAGCCATAGAAAAATTGTATAGACTATTCCCAGAGTCTGCAAAATATACTAATATGTATATTTAATATATAATATTTAGTATTTCTTAAACCTAACATGGAAAAATCAATACATAGACTAATTAATGAAGACTTTTAACAACTCTCATCATGCCACAATTCTCCATCCTTAAACTCCCCCAAATCTGCTCATATAACAGTAAGTTTTGGTTTGCCAATAATTTATTTAACAAATCTTTAATGATACAAAAACACATAGTCAGTGAAATTAAAACATTTCCTACAAAACCACTGTGCAGATTTTAAAATCAAACCTAAAAAACTTCAAAAACTCTCAGAAACCACTCTTGTTATCTGAGAGCCTGCAACCTTGTTGCTTTATTTTCAAGTTCAGAGAGGTGGACAATGCATTTATAGCACAAAAATTCAAGTTTTTCCAATCCTTACAACAGAGAACACTATTCAAGTAAAAAGGAAAAGCCATTGTAAAATTACAGGCTCAAAATGGAATTTATCCCGTGATAAAGCCTAAAGAAAACCCTTTCCAAAATGGAATTTAGGGTGATTCAACAGGTCCATGAAAAATTTAAATATCTATTCTGGTGTAAGGTAGTTCTTTTATTAAAGTGGAGCATTTGTCTTTTTGTAATTGCTTTTCTGCTCTAAGGGGTAAAAAATACACCTTCACTGAAATAAATCATTATATAAAAACCACACAACTAATTTACAAATACAACAATTAGTATGATCTTATTTTAAAATGTGTTATGAAATAATTTTGACACAATCACCAAAAGCTCATGCTGCCTCATATATCAGTCATATACCATATAAAGTTAAACGTGCTGTATTGCCAAAGCCCAAGGTAACTGGAGTCTAAAAATATACTTTTTTCTCATTCTGAACTAGTCAGATTGGTATTTAACCCAAACATCATCGAATGTTGCATTAAATATGGCAGAAAAACAAGATTACTTAAATACAAACTCTCCAAATGTATCCCATAGAAACTGCCCCCTGCCACAGAAGACTGAATCCAAGCATATCCCCCTTTCACCAACATACACACGTACACACACGAAAATAAAAATAAAACAGCCACACAGACAATAAATGTGAGAATAGAACTGATACCTGGAAGAAACTATAGAATTCATACAGACAGTCCAATGAAGACAAGATAAACCAAAAAAACATCTGACATTAAGTATCATTGGCAAGGGGATTAGGAGCTTTATTTTTCTTTAAATTACTCAATCTACTTAGTTTCTACTTCAGTTTTAGACTAAGACACTGATAAAGTTTCTAATGTGAAAAAAACAATACCTCTATGACATCTAAATTTGGTATTAGAACAAAAATGTAAAAATCTATTAACAAAGACTCTTATTAAAAGAGTTCTTTCCAGTCACTAAAAACCAACTTGATTAGCCATTTCCAGAAAGTTAAGCAGAAATTTTATTTTTTTTCCATTCTCACAAGATGGAACCCTATTGAAGGGAAAGATTAAAAGGACTCTCAGCCCACCAAAAAGTAAAATCTACTCAGAGTCTTTAAAATTCCCATATTTGCTTAACGAAAAATTCTCAAGCTAACTCTGCAAATTTGAACAGATTAAATTCTCCAGCATACATGAAAAAAATTTTTTAGAACTGTGCTACTTAAAGAAGAATGTGCACAACTGCTTTTTTGGAATTCAAAAGAAAAGGTTTTCCACTTGACCTGGCAATTTAAAGACTTTGCTAACTTAACCTGCAATTTCAATATGAATTCTAAATTTTGAAACAACTTAGAATCAAATTTTCCAATATACAATATAAAGAGCAAGCAAGTTTTAGGGAAGTACTCAGAATCTTAAGTTTAAATTTTATATATTATTTAATCACTAAAATAATTTAAATAGAACACATTTAAGTTAAAATTAAATCAATATCTAAAACCTAAAATCATAAAGCTGCCCTTTATTTTAAAAGGGGTAGGAACTTTCCTCATATTATGATGGAAAACCAAAGCATTATCTGCCTATATTATAAATATCTATGTCCTTTTTTAGATTCAAAAATCTACTTTCACTTATGTATCTTGGGTTTCTTCCATCTTCCATCTCACTAAACATCACTATAGCATTCAGATTACAACTTCTAGCCAAAGTCAAAGATCACATAAGTTCCCTGAAGGCTTCCAAAACATTAAAATCAGCAGATAAGTCAAGGAATACTCATTCCTGGAGCTGCTGGGAAACCCTTCTCTCCTTTCAGAAAATAAACCTCTTGCTATAAAGATAATCATCTAAGAACAAAACATCACTACTACATACAAATACATAGCATTCTCAATTAATAATTCTATACAATAATAAAATCCTACAGATTTGGCTAGTACTTTGGCTTAAAAAGAAGAAAAAAGACTATTAAGAAAGTAACTGTATCCAAAGGATTACAGCAGTAAAAGAGACATAGACAAATCAGAATTTCTCCTCTTATGCAAATGTGGACTCCTTAACACTAACTAAAAGAATGCTTTAAAAAAGAATTAGTTGCTACTTTAGTAGTTGATTCCATTTAACCACAAAGAGAACATCTCAATTAATCCTCTTCTATTTTAAAAATGAACTAGTTAAATGTACATTTTACTGTAAAAGTGAAATCTAACTCAATTCAAATATTCTCAATACACATATACACAAAGGCATGTGCAAAAATACTGTAATCACTTTCAATGCACACATTTCTTTAGATCTCTCTTAAACATGACACAAAAAGTAGCTCAGTTCTTCATAAATTGTCTAGTATTTGACAGCACTTTTGCATCACTTTCATTGCAAAATTCTAAAATTAGTAGTTAGGTGTCCACATTATTCACTGTATTGAGAATTCTCTCAAGAGAATAAGATATAAAACATTTGGATATCTAAATGACAGTGCTGAAACTTGCAGTGTTATACGTAGGCATACATAAACAAAATTTTAAAACCCTGTTAATTCATCACCGTATTCTAATATTTGCTGTTAAAAGAAATCAATTGCATATGAAGCCCAAACAACTGGAATGAACCCAGAAGAGCCACAAGAAAATGATGGTATTTTAAAATGGTGACGCTTTTCACACCCATGTTTAGTCATGCCAGCCGGAGAGGTGTGAGATATGACTTTATTCATTTTAAATCTGAGAATTTCAGTCATTTCCATGGCATTACAAAAATTGGAACCAAGAGCAATTTATCTTCATGGTCCTGATTCTTCTGATTTAAAAGCACTTTTAAAGAAAAATCATTTCTGCAAACTTAGGTTTTTTTGGATGGATTATTTGTTTCCTATTGCTCAGAGTCAAATTATTTTGTCCCAGACTTTCTAGTGAACAAGGGATACAAAGAGAAAAAAAGGGACCCCCCTTTCCCCCCTCCCCACACACACATACAATGACCCAATATCTGAACCTCTTTAGACATGGCATCCATTAAGAGGGCCTTTGCTCCTAACTGTGTAAGGGTCCTTAGCTATGACCTGACTTGCACAAGAAGTACACATGGCCCCGGAGAGGCGCTTTAGTCCCCTTTGGAAGACACTGTTGGAGAGACTATAAATGACACAGTTGCAGAAACTGTTACTAATGGCAAGCCAGGTGGTCAAGAAGGATGCGAAGCGGTTGCTGTGGCCAGTGGAGCTCTCCAACAAGAAGTAGACGATGTATGGCAACCAGAGGATGTAAAACACACTAGTAATCCGGAACAGAACCATGGCATAGCGCTTGTCCGGACAGGCCTGCATCTCCCCAGTCTCCCCACTCTGGCTGCTGAAGCGAGCTTGCCTTTCGCTGATTTCCTTTGTGTGCTGTTGGCAGATGCGGAAAATGTTGAAATAAGTGAAGCACACAATGAGGGCTGCTGGGGCATATAACATCATCACGATGAACAGGGTGAAGTAGGGGTCGGTGCGCCAGGACTCTGCACACCACTGAAACACATCTCCATGATATCCAGGTTTGCCCCAGTGGAAAAAGGAAGGCAGAAAGACCAGGATGGAATATAACCAAATCAGGAAAATACACAGGCGTAGTCTCCAGGGTGTAACCAGGGTGTTATAGGTTAAAGGTTTAGTGATGGCAATATATCTATCGATGCTGATACAGGCCAGAGAGGTCATGGAGACACTCTTCAGAACTGATACTATAAAACCAAACACCTGGCAAGTCAAGGACTCCTCTACTGGAAGCGGGTAGTGGAGGAGTGATAAAGAAGGAACCAGGCAGCTCACTCCAACCAACAGGTCAGCATATGCCATAGTCTGGATAAAATAACTTGTAGTGTGGTGGTTCAACAAAGGAGCACAGTGAAATACAAAAATCACAATGATGTTGCCAGAAATAATCAATACAGTTAGAAACACAATAATCAACACTTCCAAAAGGCAAAAATCGACAGTTTCCAAATAGCCAAATGCCAAGAGACAAAAAGGGTGGTTGCTCTGATTACCATCCAAGGTGGAGTTCATCTTGAGCTCAGGAGTAATCTCTCACTTCATGCTGCCGCTTGGCCGCTGCCAACAGTTCAAAGGAGCAGCTGCTGTCATTGCGGTCAGCTCTGTGTGTTTGTAATAATGCCCAAGGAGCCTCAGTCCCCAGGCTCACGATGGTGCTGCTCTGATGCATTGCCTGCAGTACAATCCCCCTTTAAATCCTTGGAATAGGGAGAGCCAGCAGCCGTCGTCTGGCCAGTCCCAGACGCGGCCATAGTATCAGGTTTACCATACACATAGTGCCAGGGGAGTAAAGCAAATTCTGGGTACAATGTCTTCAGGCCAATGAGGGTAGGGAGTAGGGGCAGAAGAGAAGGGAAGAAAATTAGGAGCTTCAGCAGGAGTTGTAATGAGTCTCCTCTGAACAGCTGATAGAAGAAAAGGAGAGAGCATTTTACATTATGCATCCCAATAAAAAAAAAAATCAAAGAATCTGGCTAGCTCAGGCTATCATCCCTCCCACTCCATTCCACCCCACCCAGTACTACCCTCAGTAGCACCCCACATAACTAACTGGTCCTTACTGTACAGAGGAGGTGCAGCAACAGCAAGCTTTCATGATAAACAAAACAAAAAATAAAACGAGTCAATTGCAATCAGAACAATCTACCCCCATTTTCCCTTCATTGGAGCCTTTTAGGGGAGAAAAGGAAGTCTGCTTATTGGATTTCTAAAAACATTTTACCATAATTACCATGAATAAAATAACTTATTTTCTTGATTCCCGTGTAATATCTTGCCTCTTTGAAAACATTTCAACAGAATTTATCTGCCTAGCTCAATTTCAGAGTGTTACCTGTAATTCTGCATGCTGCAATCCAAACAAAAGCCACAAAACATCCTTAACAGAAAGCCTTGCAAAGCAGGAATGTGCCTCAGCCTGGTTTACTGCAGAACTGAGACGCGGAGGGAGGGGATAAAGGAGTAGGAGGGGAACTGGGGAGAGAGGGGGCTTGGGAAAGGGAAGCAGTGGGGGAGGGGAAAGAAAATGCCTGTGCAGGCACACACTCTGGCATCTTCAGCAGCTCATTCGGATTCATCACCAGAGAGGCACTCCCCGATTTCCAGACTGCACAGTGGGGGAATAACTGAACACGCCTGCAGTGCAGTGTTTCAAAGCTGTTTCCTCGTCTATCTGGAATCCCCCCTTTTGGTAGAGGAACATAACTCAAACTCCTAGTAAGGAGAAGGGGTAGTAACCCGAACAGAGAGCCAGCCCGGGGATTTAAATTGAAACACACTGCCAGAGGGGTAACGCTGAGAGAAAATTCCTATTTCCTTGTAGCATTTTCCCAAGGAACGAAGAGCAATGTTAAAGAATGAAAGTGTGTTAAGAGTGCAAGGCAACTGAGGAATCAATTCAGCAACACAAGAAGTTCTAGATAAAAGGCTAAATATTCAGCATTAATTTTCTCTCATGATTCACTGGATATTGACCAATATTAAGAAAGATGACCAAAATAACAAGCAAACTTAAAAATCAAGAGAATTTTACCCTCGTGTACACACAAAAGAGGAATTTTATTATTCCTGTATTTTACACTACCTTAGTTTCAAGATTCCTCATCTTGCTTCTAGTTTGCTGAGACACAGTACACAAACATATAACAAAAGATGGAAAAGTAAAGGTACTGTTTCTACCAGGCTTGAAAATTAGAGGAAGTTTCATGGTATAAATTAGTCTTTGTATCTCAGAATACACAATATTGTTTGTGCCTACTTAAAACAATGCAAAGTGAGATTTTATTGTGGCTCTTCTGGTAATGTTATGAATGATGACAAATTTCAGCTAATTAGAAAATGTGTATTTTTAGTATCTTTTCCTCCAAGTGTCTCTGGATTTTCAATTCATCCTTCTCAATAAAGTTCCACAGACCCAGCAGAGTAAAAGAAAATAAACAAAAGTTGGTACTTGAAAGCATTCCAGAAGGTATGCATACCTGAGTGGAGATATATGTTATGTGATCCAATTTGCATTTTTTATTTGTTTCACACACATGCTTTCTCATTGCAGGCAAATGGGGAGCCATAACCAGAACTCAATTAATTACATTTCAAGATCTGAAGCACTACACTTATACAAAGGCAAGAAACTAAAAAACTTATTGAGAAGAAGCCTGATAGCCATTTTGGACAAGTCTTATTGGAAAACATGGCAAAAGTGTGGCATAGTAAAAGGACCAGTGGACTGAACACTCACTTAGTTCAAATCCTAGCTCTAATATTACTTAGCCTCTCTCAGACTCAGTTTTATCATCTGTAAAATGAGGATCATACTACCTATTTCATGGGATTGTTGTAAAATAAAGGAGACTTCCCAATATTTATCACATAGGGAGTATACAACTTTACTAACTTTTTTCTCATGCTATTAAAATAACCTGTGCTTTCCTACCAATCATGTTGCATTGCTTGAGGCTAGGCTCCTGAATCTAAAGTGCCCTCTCTTACTGTGACTGCTCAGTCTAAGGCACACACAGTTACTATGATACTTTCTGAGGCCAGTGAAGGTACCTGAGTGTGATATGGCATCAATTATTCCCTCTACACAAATGATTTCTCTGCCTGTCACCAGCCATAAATTCATCCCCAAGCTCCCTTTTCCATCTACAATTTGCCAGCTGTCACACAACTACAAGACCTAGATGTCCTGCTGAGATTTCAACCAGAGCACCCAAAATTAGTTCCCCCACCAAATAAGCCTGTCTTGTTTTTCCCAATGTTTTAGGCACTCAAGAATGAAACTTAGAAATCATTTTGATCACTCTCTCTCAATACACTGTTCTTAGGCACCATTTCCTGGAAATCTATTTCTACAACAGCTCTCAAATTCACTTCCTCTTCAGTTTTTACTACTTTACTTTAGGCCATTATTAAATATCATCTAGACTTCTAATCTTACTCATTTTTCGAGTATATTTATTTCTGCCTGATTGAATATCCAGTACCATATACTTTATTACGGTACTCCACTGTTCAAGAAGAGTCAATGGCTCCCAATTGCCTTTCCAATCTGATACCACTATTCTACATCCCCCCAAACAACTTGAGTTCCAGCCAAACCATTCGTCATAGACTGTATTTTTGAACTCCCATTTTTGAGTGCTTAAGAAATATTAAATGAAAATAAGGAAGCTTTAGTTCAATAAATAGAAAAGGCATTTGCCAAAGTCAGGAGTCCACTCTTTTCCAACTCCTTGTGAATTTGGCCATGTAACTTACTGTCTCTACATTCCAGGTTGCTCATGTTTAAAACTAGATGGTTATGCTGATAAAAATATATTACATTGGCTGATGACTTGAAAGAATTAAAAATGTAATAAAAGTGCAATAAACTACAAGCTGTTATACTACCACCATTAGTACAATAATAGGTCTTCTAATTTTTTTTTATTTTAGTAAAACCAGTCTTTGGAACTGTAATCAAAATATTCATATAAAAACAAACAAACAAACAAAAAAACAACCCTGATAGCCACACTTTATCAAATCAGTCGAGTTAAATGTTTTATTTTGAGAAAAAAACAAAATATTTATGAAAGGGGGCAATAAATCTATGTCCTCGCAAAGACCTATATATACATTTATTTCCTTTTAAAAAATAATGCAATCTCATGATGTACTTGATTTTTATGAAAGAGAATAAATATTTCTGCATATACATGACTGGAAGCAAATTCATTAAAATTCAACTCTACTTTTCATTGATAGTTGGATTACAAGTGATTTTTTATTTTCTCCTTTATGGTTTTCTTTATTTTATAAATTTCCCAATTTCTATGTATTATTTAATGGGTTTGTCTTGTGTTTTGTTTTTTAAAAAAAACAGCCAAAATAATATATAACATGTCGCTTTGGGAAAGGTAACAAAAAAACCTGGCTGCAAGATTTTTTTTGGCCTTTACTCTATAAATCAAGTCACTCTTTTCTCCTCCTTTAAATTTAGTCTTTGAAGGAGCTAAGTCAAAAAACCTCTCCAAGGTAATTTTATATGTGAAATTTCAAAATATACAGCATGCATCTGGCAAAGAACCCAAGTCCAGAATAAATAACTTCCAAAAATTAGTAATATATATAAACTACATATGAAAATAGTATGTACAAATCCTGCTGTCTTGGTCTGTTTGAGCTGCTACAACAAAATACCAGACTGGGTGACTTATAAACAGCAGGAATTTATTCCTCACAGTTCTGGAAGCTGGAAGTCCAAGATCGAGGCATCAGCACAGTTGGGTTCCTGTGAAGGCCCTCTTCTGGCTTGCAGGCTGCCAACTTCTTGCTGTGTCCTCACATGGTGGAAGGTGGCAAGGGATCTTTCTAGAGCCTCTTTTATAAAGGCATTAATCCCTGTCATGGGGGATCTGCCCTCATGACCTAATCATATCCCAAAGGCCCCACCTCCTAATACCATTACCTTGGAGGTTAGGTTTCAACATATGAATTTTGAAAGACACAAATATTCAAACCATAGCATCTCCTATATTCAAAAATGTTCATAAGCAACTTTCTTCATAATAAGCCAAAAAATGGGGGGGAACCCCACAAACATCTATAATAGCAGAATAGACTTTTTAAAAGTGTGGTTTACTGATACAATGGAATTCTCTCAGGAATTTTTAATAAATGAAAGCAAACAAAAAAACAGCTAATGAGACACTCAAAAAAATGACTGCATTTAAAGCAATACCAACTTGCATCAAATAACACTGTAGTGTAAAAAAATAAAAAACCGTTTTTGCCAATATTATGATAATTAAATAATTTGTATTTTCTGATCACCTACCAGCAATTTAAACTAACATACACATCATTAGAGACCTTTTTAGGTTCTAGCCATGTGCATGATAATCAAAGTTTAATGTGAAATACAAAGCACATGACATCAGCATATGTAAAACAATCAAATATATCAGATTTGTTAATAGCTGATATTTTACACGTCATGTAATTATCAAATTCCTATTAAAAAAACAGACTTCCACATTTTCATGGAACCAGAAAAATAGAATACTTCATGTTTTTCAAATTATCTGTATGAATGGCCCCACCATTAAGAAGTAATTTTTGGCCAAACATTTCAAAGGACTTCAAAAGAGGAACTAGAAAGACAGTTAGAACTGAGAATTATACATCCAAAATATGATTTTCCAATAAAGGAAAAAATCAACTTGCCAATTAATATGACTCTACATGTGACATACCCTCACTTCCATTCATACTATGAGCACAATGGTCTTCCATCTTTCCAGGCTTGGGGAGCTCTTTTCTGAAACCCATCTTAAATGTAATGTTCCTGATAATCTCCTGTTCTCACAGGCTGAATTTATCACTTTTGATGGCTCCAACAGTGCTTTTTCAGACTATCATATGACATATGTCTATCACATGAGTTATTTCTGTGTTTGATCTCCTTGCTCCAGCATTAGGGTTGTAATACAGGCACTCAATAGATGCTGGTTAAACAATTATATCAACACTAGAGGCCTGGTGCACGGATTCATGCACATTGAAAGGAAATTAATTAGAAGGTGGCTGGTGGGGGCGGGACTGGGCCAGATGGGCTGGACACACCCTGGAGCCCAAAGGGCATCTGCAGAGTGAGTGGGATCCCTCCAACAGGTGGGGTCCCTCAGCCTGGCCTGCAGGGATCAGGCCGAAACGGGCAGTCCGACATCCCCCGAGGAGTCCCTGAGTGCGAGAGGGTGCTCTGCAAAGTTGCTGTCACTCAGCAGCTCCTGCGTAAGCGTGTGCCCCCTGATGGTCAGTGCACATCATACCTACTGGTTGGCCAGACGCTTAGCCTTTTATATATATAGGTAGATAATGGAGGGGATTAGACTATTAGTTCTTGAAAGAAAACACATCTGACAAGAAATAAGATGATGAGAAGGAACACTAATATTTTGAGCAAATCAGTCTCATTTTCTGGTGTGGAAAGATCCAATTTCATGTTCAAATGCTGTACTTCCCTTAAAGTTTTTAAGTAAAAATCCTATAGAGGTATTACTCATCTCTTATAAGGTGTTCATACATTTTTAAAAGAAGTCCCACCTTTTGTCACATTGAAAAATTATCATAAATTATTCGAATTCTGAGAAATTCATTCATAACCCAGGTTTGGGATTTACATAGCACTGGAGAAATTGCTTCCTAAATATAAACATTTCAAGAATTTGAGGAAATAAAAATTAAAACCAATAACATGGTTACAAAGGCACAAAGCATTACCTAACCTTGCAGAAAATTCTTTTTCAAATTCTTGTATTCTTTTGCAAGAAACAGTTTTTGTTACTTTGCTTACAAAACCTTGAAGAATGCATGAATTTGAGAAGGGGATACTAAAAAAATGAGAATTCTTCAACTTAGAAAAATAAGCTAAAAGGAAATATGGTTTAAGGTAACAGAATTATATTCTTCCAATTGCAGAAACTAGAAGTAGACCTTACTTTACAAAGAGTACAATTCTGTGACATGTGAAAAGGATTAAAATAAACAAAAGAAAGTTTTTGCACAATGCATAGCACAACTGATCTAACTAAAAATGGAATGGAATGCAATTATGGTAAAAAAAAGATTTAGGTACACAATGGGTAGAGGACATCCTTTGCCCCTGAGGTGAAATTGGTCAAAGAAGAAAAACTATCCTTCTCCTTTGTGCCAACACTAGAAATAACTTTGGGCTAGAAGTATAAAAGTTCTATTCTATAAGGTAAAGGAATTATAAAGAAAATTATTGGAAATCAAATAGTCACAATGATCTTTTTGTAACAAATTTCCCAAAATATTAATGCTGAAGCTGAATCATCATCCCCTTACCTTTGTGATGAGAATTCGGTATTTTTCTACCAGGTGGTCATTGTTGTGACAACCTGCTAGCAGCTGCCAGACTTCTCCTCGAAGAGCTTCAGGAACACCGCTTCTTACTAAGGACGACAACTGCTTTGGTCTCACACTCAAGTTGAGATGCCTAAAAATAAAGCCATAACCCAGAAGTACATGAGAGTAAGATCCTCTAAAAATAGTTATTTTTATGAAAACTAAACTAAATGATTTATAAAGACTTAATAGTGATCACATACTAATAAAGAAAAAATAATACATAAAGCTGTTGAATTAAATGTGGCCAAGATAACTATAAAGGTTGGAGGAAAGAATACTGCAGTCAGGCTACTTCTTAAGTATCTTTAAATCATTGCTCAACTTAAAAAAGAAAAAGAAAAGCAAAACTAGAAACTATAGCTTTATAGTTGTAGCTTATGTAAGATAAACAAAGCAAAATTCTCATCAGTAACAGCCAAAGATAAGTGCTTGACCCTGTATCAAAATTGACAAACTGTGTACTTATATGCTCTAAGTTAAAATAAATATTTAAAATAAACATAAAAATAAATACTTTCAGCAACTTTTATGAAACCTTGCTTCGAGTGACTTTTTTGAATGACTATGTTGATTAAGACAGTGTCTACTCTATAATAACATGAAAGCAGGTTGTTAAAGTCTTTAAGCTTCATCTTTCTCATCTATAAAATGGGGAAAAACTTATCTTGAAATGTCGCTATCAATATACTGATTCAATATACTAGGTTTTTTTGCACACAATTTTATTTGATCCTTATAACAAGTACCTGAAGTAGGTGGGAGTATCTTCAGTTTTACAAATGAAGAAAAAAATTCAGGGAAGTCAATTAAATGATTGACCTAGTCCTCAAACTCTAAGACCAATAAGTGTTCTATGTGCTATATCACACCTGCTTTGTGATTTAAAAGCCACCATTACTGGGTCAATAACGCAGGCTTCTGGCGTGGAGAAGCTCCCATGATTATCAGAAGTTACTGATATAAAATGACCACTGTCTATATATATTAAAGCCTAAGCAACCATTACGACCAGAAAGACCGGCAGCTGGACACCCTGCCGAGGGGTCCCAGATTGCAAGAGGGCACAGTTGCTATGATGCGCACTGACTACCAGGGGACAGACACTCAACACAGGAGCTGCCCCCTGGTGGTCAGTGCACTCCCACAGGGGGAGGGCCACTCAGCCAGAAGCCGGGCTCACAGCTGGCGAGCTTAGGCTGTGGGAGCCTCTCCCGACTCTGCAGCAGCATTACCAAGTGGGAGTGGCAGGCGCAGCAGGCCGGGATGAGCGTAAGCAGTGCAGCACCCGGCTCCAGCTCGGGCTCCTCCCTGGCCGCCTGCCGCTTGGCACACTGCTATATCCCCCGAGGGGTCCCAGATTGCGAGAGGGAGCAGGCCAGGCTGAGGGACCCATCCCCCACCCCCGTGCACAAATCTGTGCACCGGACCTCTAGTCAAAATATAAAAAGGTCTGAGACTTTTATCAAAATGTTGCCAGAATTCTAGCAGAATAATGCACAGTACACTTAAAAATTGTTAATTCTGTGATGCTAGTGCCCTAATGCAAGAGCCACAGACAGTTTAATACAGTGTTGTCTTTGTTTAGAAATACAAATATAAATACGTGTATACACACACACACACACACACACACACACACACATATATATATAAGAGCTGGTAGCAAAAAAGAACAAAAGTGATTCTGCTGATTAATTCTAGAATTGGCACACTGTCTTGGGCCAAATCCAGCCTTCCACCTATTTCTGTATATCAACTTCTTTGAAACAGCCATTTTTATTTGTTTATGTATTATCTATGACTGCCTTCCCACTACAATAGCAGAGTTGAGTAGTTGTAATAGAAACTATTTGGCTGCAAAGTCTAAAGTATTTACAGTATTGGCCTTTTACAGAAAAAAATAAACCTAACCCTAAGTTTATTTGCTAACCCTACCTTAATTATATTGGTAAAAATTTCAGAATACTTTTATGTCATTGATACCATTAACTTTAGTGTTCCCATCCCCTAAGAGTCACATTAAAAATAAACTTGAGAATCAGAGAGCTCAAAGATATTATTGCTAACAGGGCCACTAAAATCTAATGTAGAGTTAAATAAACTAGCTTTGGGATTAAACTTTAGACTGTTAAAAATTTGGGGCTTGCAATTTACAAACTAGATTTAATATCTGAGCCAGTTTCCTCATCTATAAAAAGGAGTACTAGTTCATAAGGCTGTGATTGTGGAGACAGAGCACATAACATTGCGCAGTGCCTAGCATATGGTACATTCATTAGTTTTTTGTTTTTGTTTTTAAATATCTTTTTTATTGATTTCAGAGAGGAATGGAGAGGGGGAGAGAGAGAGAGAAACATCAATGATGAGAGGGAATCATTGATCGGCTGCCTCCTGCACAGCCCACACTGAGGATCGAGCCCGCAACTCGGGCATGTGCCCTGACTGGGAATCGAACCATGACCTCCTGGTTCATAAGTCGACACTCAACCACTGAGCCACACTGACTGGACTCATTAGTTCTTACTACAATCACTACTACTACAACATCCATTATTTTTAATCCACAATAATTCTGAATGCTAGTTTTATAGACGTGTATGATATAAATGAAGAAAGACTCAGAAGAGTTAAGTGACTTGCCCAAGACAATACAGCTTAGAGGCAGGACAGGTAGTCTGTGAAGCCTTGTCTACCAAGCTCTAAAATTCCATAATATTGTGACGCTTCCTATTTATAGAACACATATAATAATGATTAAAAATACAATTAAATGAATTGAGGAGAAACTATATTATTATTTCTGAAGACATGACTGAAAACCAGCAAAAACAGTTTAAACACCCTGAAGACAGTTTCGACAGTTGTAAACTCAGTTAATATATTTGAGGGAGCTGAAGAAGGACCTAATTAAATGAATTAACAAAATGAATAAACAAAGCTTGATAAGACAAATTCCAAGCAACTGTATAAAATGCTGGTGAGTTCATCTAACAAAGCTAGAGTCTTTGCTATATCTAAATGACTTTAAATGCACTATTATATAACTATTCAAGACTCAATTACATATCTATTTCTAGCAGAAACCTTTTTATTCAGATGAAATTCCTGCCAGCAGCAGTCCAAACACACCAAAGTCACTGAACTGAAAATATAATTGTGACGAGAACATCAGCAGGTTTGTCTCCTGATCGCTAAAGGAATAGCAAAAATAAATTAGAACTATTCCCCTAGGGGCTTTTGCAGAGTTCACTTATTAAAACTACTTATGGAAAGACAAACCAGGCTTTGGTTCATATTTTCCTCCTGCACACATTTGACATTTCCCAATAAGAAGAGTATTTTCCCAAAAGTATAAGGCATTGTGAGTATGCTAGGAGCAGATGATGCCCATCTGTAGTCCTGTCCCTTAAGGGCATGGTTTTTAAAAATGGGAAGACAGTTTTACTAAGAATAGAGTGAAAGGCTTCAACAGTTAAAATGTCTGAGAAAAATCAAACCCCAAAGTAATAGGCCCATGGGGTGCTTATATGACAATCCTAATAATTAGAAAGTCTGAAACAGAGAAGTGAAACGATCACTTTCGAGCTCAGATTTTTTCAGCATATCCTGGCATCCTACACAGAGGAAAAAAGAAATGACATAAACGTCTCACCAAACTGACTTACCCGAGTGTCTCTGGTTTCATTAATAAATACCTGAAGGCAGTGTATTCTTTTTAGACAGTCTATAGCAGCGATTTTCAACCTTCTTCATTTCATGGCACACATACACTAATTACTAACATTCTGCAACACACCAAAAAATATATTTTTGCCAATCTGACAAAAATAGGTATAATTTTGACTCATTCAGACTAGATGCTATTGTTTTGTTGGCTGTTGTCAATTTTATTTGACAATCTAAGTGAAGAGAGGTCAGTGCCCAATTAAATAGATAGGTTTTGCATGTTTTAAAAATTCTTGCATAACACCGGTTGAAAATCGCTGGTCTACAGAATAGTGTTTCTTGACATTATTGTCAAGCTATCTCTTGAGCTGATGAGAAGTTCCTAAATTTTACAAGTGTTAATAGGAAAAGTAATTGGTAGAGCAGTTAATATATACCATGTTCAAAAGAGAAAAAAAATATATATATCATGTTCATAACATTCTGCTCTGTCACCTTAGGGACGTAGCACAAATAAAAAGAAAATCCCACCTGGGGTCTGATCTGTAGCTCTGTATGTTGTGTGAGCATCCTCTACACTTCACTGATTATTTTGTATTGACTAACTATTGTGTATTTTCTTAACCAGTCAGTGGTTCCTAGCCTCTTCAATATAAAGGATCTCTGTCCTTAATCATTCTCACTATGGACTCCATGTTTGAATAAATGTTTTCTACAGCAATGAAAATTTATTAGGTTTCTAATATTCCAAACGCGGATTTCAGATCTTCACTACTACCTTCAAAAATTCTAAAAACAGCCCTAACCGGTTTGGCTCAGTGGATAGAGAGTCAGCCTGTGGACTCAAGGGTCCCGGGTTCGATTCCGGTCAAGGGCATGTACCTTGGTTGCGGGCACATCCCCAGTAGGGAGTGTGCAGAAGGCAGCTGATCGATGTTTCTCTCTCATCGATGTTTCTAACTCTCTATCTCTCTCCCTTCCTCTCTGTAAAAAATCAATAAAATATATTAACAAAAAAACCTCTAAAAACAGAGGATTCTAGAACGTTAACCTCGTACCTAGGTTTCTATTATTGGTTCTAAAAGTGAACATAATAGAATTGCAGATGAAAAAGGAGAACTATTCTAACTTACCATTTTGACAGTAGTTCTCCCCATGTTTCAAGAATTTTTTCTGCACATTCTTTGGATACATCGCCGGATCCACTCAATAGGGGTTCATCATTATCTTTAATAAACAAAACACACACAGAAAGATAACAGAAGTGGCTATGCTAGCCAGAAGAATGACATGGAAATGGAACAAATTTGAAAGATTTTACTGGAAGCATAATTTTTCTTTTAGTATACAGGTATAAATACAAAGAAAATAAAAATGATCTTAGATGGAATGTTGTTGTAATCTATCATTCTCTTGCTTTCCATACAATAAACAATGTAATTGTATACTGACATTTGTTTACATAAAAACATCAAGAGTTAAAGCATAGTCCTGGCCAGTGTGGCTCAGTTGGTTGATGCATCATCCCATGAACCAGAAGGTCTTGGGTTCGATTCCTGATGGGGCACATGACTAGGTTGCAGATTCAGGAAGTGTGCGGGAGACAATCGATTGATGTATCTCTTTCTCCCTCCCTCCCTCTCTAAAATGAATTTTTCAAAAAGAGCTAAAGCTTCATTATGATCTAATCTATATTTAAAAAAAAGAGTCTGGAGTGAACTATGCTAAGATTTAGTAATTACTGCCTCTGAATGATGGAGTTATATTTTTTATCTCTTTTATGTTTTCCTGATTTTCTACAACAGCATACATTAATTTATAATATAAAGCACAAAACTATTAAAAAGAACCAAAATGAATCATTTCAAATTTAATTAAAGTAATTAGGAAAAGTAAATTCAAATATGAATTCTAAGATTGTAAGATATGAACACAGTGAAAAAAGTGACACGGATTAAAGCATGTGAGAGGTACTGAAAAGTGTAATGAAAGTGGGGGGAAATAAGGATTCAGTATATACTTAATCAACCCTCTTTTGTTAAGACACTTGGGGAGTTTTCAACTTTTTGCTACAAATAGAATCAAGATGAACATATCTTGTTGTTTTCGCTGGGTATATGCCCAGAAGTGCACTTCCTGGGTTTAAAAAAAAAAAGTGCATACTTTTAAGGGTTTTGAAGCTTACTGACAAACTGCCTTTCAAAATGGTTTTAATAATTTATATTTCTACTGGTTCAGTACAACAGTACTTGTTTTCATATGTCCTCACTACTGTTTTTCTACATTTTCTGGTTTAACTTTCCTTAACAAAGTTTGGGGCTTTACATACCTGATAATTAAATTATAAACTGATTTTTCTTTTCAAGACTCAGAAATCCATGATACTTGTTATTAACCTTTCTTACATTTGCCCTGGGCATTATCTGTAGATGATGAGATAGGGAAGAGGTCACACTGAATGTGAGACGTCTGCTGTAGACGGATGAATAAGGAAAAAAGAAAGGCTTGAGGGCACTAAGATAAACTTGTATAGTACTTTACTATTTGCCAGAATTGGCCCTACTTTCTAATGCCTCAACTAATTCTCTACTCATTAAAATGTCAATATGATACAACTCTTTGGGGGAAGGCAGCTATAAAAATGTACTAAAATTTACAAGATGACAATTCCTTCAATCTTACAAAATTTTCTTTTATTGTTTTGGATGCTTTCAACACATCTGAATAGTAGTTTGAAATCTGTGTTTAGAGCTGCATGCACCTAAGAGTGGGGAGCGAGCAGACAGTCTCAGTCACAGGATGTTGTTTCTGAACACAACGCGCCCGCCCCCCACCAGTCCTAAATAACTGCTGACTTTCTGCCCTGTAAGCACAAATGTCCTATGGATAAGGAGCCCCTGTAGAAGACTGAAGCCATTTCTTTCCAGGGAACTAACAGATCACAATATGACTGTTTCCCTGGTTTGTGTACCGGGTTAGAAAGAATTAGAAGATGGCATGGCTACACAGTCTTCTTCAGTCCCCATCAGCACAGTATATATACCGAGAATTGTTATATACCAGGGAAACAATGTGGGGCAAAGGACACACTCTCTTCCTTCACAGAGCTTGTACTCTAAGTGTTTCCATTTCTGCCATGATGTCATTAGTCCTTATCTCTCCCTAGTTAATTAGGACTTCTGAACCCCCTCTATTATATTTAAAAATCTATGCCAGCTATAGATGAGAACTAGATGTCAGTCCTAATGCTATGGTTTAGCTGGGCCCAAATTTCTTTTTAACTGGCAGATACTCTTTAAATCTCTAGTATGGAGACTTGAGCATTCTCTGGTTTCACAATAGTGTCTTTCCTAAATTTGGTGGTTTTTGTTTTTATTGCTGAGCTTAAGTGGAGGAGAGTTCTGTAAACTTTTACCTGCTTTTCCATGTTAAGTAGTATTGACCTAGAGGGGACTCTGCAAGTCTTAAGACCACCAGAATGTACAGTAGACAATCTCAAACAGCAGGAACAAGTTCACCTTTCCCAGTTTTAACACAGGAGTTAAGTTGGCTTTGCAAGGAGACTCTAAATTGTACCAGTGACTTCTCCAAAAATAATACATATGCTTTCATTGCACTTCAAAATACTTCATGTGACCCAAATGCACAGAAATTTTGACAGACTAGAGCTCAGACCATGAACTCATAGGCCTAAACTGAGTCCTTCCTGCTATTTCTAGCTGTGTGACCTTGGCAAACACACTTTTCGGAGATTCCATTTCCTTATGTGTAAAGTAAGGATAATAATGAATCCGTTTTTCAGGTTTTTTCTGTGAGGATTATATAAACATAGTATTATGTTATAAACAAAGTAACTGCCTACCACATATTAAGCTAGATTAGTAATTGGTGGCAATTAATATTACTAATAAATAATCCTAAATTGATTAGTCATAGGAAAAGTGGAAATTACAGAGAACAATGGGAAGTGGAAAATCAGAGCTTGCTCTAAACTTGAGTAAAATCCATATAATGAGTATTATTTATCTTAACCTAATCAATCATTCCTGCCATCTCTGTGCCATTGTTAATGTACTTTCTTAGCCAGGAGTGTCCAAACCAACCCAAATATTCTTGCTTGAATTCTCCTTGAACTGTCCAACTCCCAGCTCAAAAACTACTCTTCATATGCTCCACACCACATTCCCCACAATGAAAAATGGATTTTCCTCTGTTTCCAGAACACTTCCTGTGAACCTGCTAGATGCTTCATATGATCTTCTATCATAAGCACTCTTTTCCCCCATGAAAAATAAAGCCCTGGTACAAAATTATAAATTAGAAAATGCCTCCCAAACTTTTATTCCCCCCACCCCCATTTCTCACTTTTATGTAGACTGACAGATTAGTTCATAAATGTAACCATTAAAAAAGAGGGGAAAACCCCAACTGGTTGATTCCTAATGTTTATCTGCGTAAACCCCCAAATGTGTAAATATCAATTTGTATATTTAAGTATTTTGTGACATAATCATATGTGAAAGCCACTTTTGGCAAGTGGACTTGCCCCTGTGAAATGAATCTGAAGAGATGAAAGCATTCAAGTGGAAGCTGTGTAAAATTTAATCTGAAAATGTGCTAATACTAGACTGATTCTTTAAAAAAGAACTAATTGTAAATCTCATTTTGTCCTACTTGATTACAATTATCTTAAAGAAGGTCCTGAGTTAATCATTTTGTGGATCTCCCAGTTTTTTATGTATAGTAAGATGTACATATTGAAAGAATTCCAAATGCTATGTCACATTATCAATTCCCTGATAAAATTAAACCCTCCACCTCAAAACAGAACTGAGGCTCTCCCTACAATTTACCTTCCTCTTCGTCATCTTCTGGAGGAGATGGTATCATTGAGCTCTGCGATCCAGACTGTGGCAGGCGAATGGAGGGGCTGGCTGTAGTTTTCCTCCTCTCTCTTTCTGACTCACTTTCCAAGCACACAACTTCGTATAAAGTGTCAGTGTTGCTCTTTCTCTCCTTTTGCTTTATCTTGAAGATGAAAAATATTATTTTATTAAGTGGTAAGATTCTTTATTTTTTAAATTGAGTACTACTTCTGACTTCATACAGGATATGAGAATAAAAAAGTATTACTTCAAATAGCTATACTAAAGGTAGCCTTTTCTAAATAGAAAAGTATATGTTTAGATTTTAAAACCCTTAGGAAAATAGCATGTTTATCAAGCAGGGCTCTAGTTCTGCAATTTTATTTAGTGTCTAGAACAGCGGTTCTCAACCTGTGGGTCACGACCCCTTTAGGGGTAGAACGACCCTTTCACAGGGGTCGCCTAAGACCATCGGAAAACACATATATAATTACATATTGTTTTTGTGATTAATCACTATGCTTTAATTATGTTCAATTTGTAACAATGAAAATACATCCTGCATATCAGATATTTACATTACGATTCATAACAGTAGCAAAATTACAGTTATGAAGTAGCAACGAAAATAATTTTATGGTTGGGGGTCACCACAACATGAGGAACTATATTAAAGGGTCGCGGCATTAGGAAGGTTGAGAACCACTGGTCTAGAAGATTATATCATCAAACATCTAACCAGTACTTAGTAAATGTGAACTAGAAATTTAACCATTCTGTGGCTTCCAAGTTACTTTAAGGTATCCTTCAAAGTTTCCCTTATAAAATTCTACATGAAAAAAATGTTTTAAAATATTCTAAAATAAAGTTTAGGACTAAGAAAGTCCTCTTATTTCCGTGTGTGTGTGTGTGTGTGTGTGTGTGTGTGTGTGTGTGTGTTTCCACTCCTTCAGCTTAATTGAAACAGTGTAGGAAACTTTTCTTTAATTGAAAGCTACAACTGGGGGCGGGAGGAGAGGTGAGTGGCAGAAAAAAGACTAATATTATCAACAAAATTTTGATAACTAAAAATTGGTTTGTATTTTGGTTTTACTTTGAGGTAAACACGTAACAGTTTAAGTGGACCTAAATTAAAATTAAGAACATGGAATAAAAAACTTTACCAGTACAATATTTAAATATATTAAAATTGTATATCACAGCCAGTTTAGGGAGCTGGGGGAAAAAAGGAGTGAAATACAGAGCAATAGGACAAGGCAGAACTGTAGGAAAAGACATAGACAACTAGAAAGGTGGCTACACCAAAGAGGAAGACATACACGCATAAAATAAAAATACAGAAATTGGGGGGAGGGTAAGAAGTTCATTAGGTACAGAAATACCAGGCAGAACAGATTATATCATCTCAATGTTCATCTGGGTTCTTAAGAAAAATTAACCCATTCCAAGATAATGGCGACATGTCCTTTCAATATCATCCTGAAGCAATGTTTAATACAGAAATTGGTAAACTTATCTGTAAAGGGCCAAATAGTAAATATTTTAGGCTATGTGGACCAACAGTCTTTGCCACAACTACTCCACTGTGCTATTACGGTGCAAAAGCAGCCAAAGACAGTGAGTGTGGCTGTGTTCTGAAAAAATTTTACAAAAACAAGCACCAAGCCAGATTTGACCCATAGACTGTAGTTTGCAGACTTTTTTTCAACATGTCCACCCAATTTTGACTTAGCTACTTACTATTAAGGACCCAGACTCTGTGAAGTTATATATTATCCTGTAGATTTGTGTCCAGTAGATATGCAAATGATTTGTGTCCAACAGGAAAGATAACCCAAAGGTTACCTACAGCAGTGGTTGCCAACCTTTCGGACCTCATGGACCACCAGTGGTCCACAGACCACCGGTTGGCGACCGCTGCTCCAAAGGTTTCCTTAAACTAGTGGTGGCCAACCTTTTGGACCTCACAGACCACCCGTGGTCCACGGACCACCAGTTGACGACCGCTGACGTACAGGATATTCACCAGTTTTCTTTTTAACCTAGCACAACCTTTTTCTAATTCTCTTTTTAAAGGAAGGACTAGATAAACTCAAGTTCCTCAAAACTTAGAACCAGTTTTACCATCTTGTTTCCCTCATTACTTAATGAACTGAATTAAAATCTTTGGCACATGTTCAATTTAAATTTGGAATTATTTTTAACTTTTATATATTTTGATAGGAAACAGGATTTACTTTTGTTGTTATAAGTAACTCTAAAACATTAGTTAATTGTTATCTGAAACAGCTGAATGAGCTATTAATGATCTTTAGCAGTGGAAGAGCTCTAGAATAGCAAGCATTTTCCTATTTTTTATCTTGAGAGGTACAGTGGTTTAGTGTGTATGTGTGCATGTGGCTATATATACATATACACAGCAAACAGAAATAAGAGGCCCAGGGTTCCAGTATAATTATACTAATTACTTGACTACAGGCATTGGCCACATCATTTAGTCTTTCAGGCATCAGTTTATCAATTTATAAATAACAATTTTATAAGAGGTTTTAAAGTCTCTTTGGCAATTAAAGTTCCATAATTCCATAGTTTTAAGAATGCTTAGTTGGCCTTTTATTCACCTTATGTAACTGTTGGAAAACCTAGTCTTTAGACCAATTTCTTCCTCTTTTAGTAAATGATATCTGAAAGTTTAAATCTAAAAAAGCAATCTTTCTTTCCCTAATATGTTTCTTCTCTAATATGATGCCATCTTAATATAACATTCCCCACAGTTGGGAAGACTTCCAGGCTAAAAAAGAATTACTGAGTCATCAGATAAATTTAGTAAAAGAATAGAAGATTCCATTTATAAACATGCATTTTTTAAAACATTTCTATGATTGTTTTCCCATACAGCAATATAAACAACATATATATTTTTTAAATTTGGCCTGCTGTTCCTTTTTAATGAGAACTGCAAAGTACTTAAAAATTTAAATTATGCCTGGCCGATATGGCTCAGTGGTTGAGCATCAACCCATAAACCAAGAGGTCACCAGTTCTACTCAGTGTCAGGGCTCATGCCCAGAGGTTTCGGGTTGATTCCCAGTGTGGGGGTGTGCAGGAGGCAGCCAATCAATTATTTTTCTCTCATCGATGTTTCTCTCTCTCCCTCTCTCCCTTCCTTGCTCTCTAAAAATCAATAAAAATTAAATATATTTTTAAATGATATATTTAGCAAAAAAAATTTAATTATGCTTAACTTGATTTAAGTAAATACTAAAAATACTCTTACAGAAAGACAAAAGGAACACATCGCAATCAAGAAAGAGCCCTGATTAAGGCTCCTAGAAAGCTTAGGTATGTATCTTTTTCACACAACATCCCATAAAATCTACTATTTTACATCTTTGGATCTATAAAATGAGAATACTTTCTTCATTGGATCACTAAGAAAATTACATAAGACAGAAAAAGTGGAAGTAGCTAGTAGAGTGATGACCACAATATATTAAGATGGCATCAATTAATGGTAGCTGCTATTACTTTTCTCTTTTCCTTTTTTAAGAGAATTTTATTTATTTTTTTAATGGAAACATCTTTTTTAAAAAAATAATTATTTTAGAGATAGGAAGGGGGAGAGGGAAAGGGAAAAAGGGAACGAGGGAGAAAAGGAGAGAGAGGGTGGGAAGAGAGAGAGATATTTGTTATTCTACTTACACATTCATTGGTTGAATCTTTGTATGAGCCCTAACAAGGGATAGAACCCACAACCTTGGCCTATCTGCACGATGCTTTAACCAACTTAGCTACCCGCCCAGGGCTAAATTTTATTTTTCAATTATAGTTTACACTCAATATTATTTTGTATAGTTTCATGTGTACAGGATAGTGGTTAGATAAACATACTTTACAACGTTCCCCTGATATTTCCAGTACCCAGCACTTTATGAGGACAAATTCTCAACCCAGCATCCTATATCCAGGGAAAATATCTTACTGGAATGAAAGTGAAATAAAGGGAAACTTGGTTCTTCAAGAAGAAATGAAGAGCAACAAAATTGATAAATGGGTAAAAATAAAAGACAATTTTTCCTCTTAATACATTTAACATACATATGAACTAAGTGATACTCAGATTAATGATAAATCAGACTCAAAGTGGTTTCTCCTTTCTTATTTCCTCCCCACCCCAACTCCAATATTTATAGAAAGGTATGGTACCTGTTTTAGTTTCAAAAAGAAATTTTCAGTAGTACTACGTTTGCTGAAGGGCCAGAATAACCTTTCATTAGGTGAGCAAACCCGGACTTTTGTCTCTAGAAGAAATCGAACAGGCTCCTGTACTTCTGTTATTACCAAATCAACAGCTGTGGTCATAAACAACACTTTATCTAGAGAGAGGGGAAAAGCAAATTTAAGAAATGGAAATATATTTTCTCATATGATTACTGTAAAAGTAATTACTTTTATTATGAACTTTTAAGATATCTTAAGGTATTCCATTAACTAAGAATCTAAAATAATCAGATAATTTACTGTTTTGAAAATTTATATTCCATATTGAGAATTCTTTTCTTGGGTAGATTCTTTAAAGTGGAATTAGTACAGAAGAGCAGTATACACTTTACAGCTAATGAAATGTTTTACAATAGTGATATATGTCTTCATTATGCCACTCTCACCAAGGCTAGGGTTTCTAAACTTTTAAAATCTTGGTTAACAATGGTAACTGTTTATATCCTTTATCTATTTACCTATAATGCTATGAATAATAAGAAAAAATAAAGGGGAAAAATGCTAAATAAGAGGGACTAGTTAAGCAAATAATGTTACATTTTCAGGATATGTCATTATCCAACCATTAAATGAAGGTGCACACTTGAAACCTAATGACCAATGTCACCTCAAAAAATTAAACAAAAGACACTTGGGAAGAGTATAAAATATGTTTAAAAGGTTATTTATGCACAGAATATCTGAAAAGCTACACAAGAAACTGGTCACAGTGGTACCCTATAGAGTACGACCCTGGGGACTGTGGTAGATTTTTACTTTTCTCTATATAGAGTGTCCCCCCAAAATGTATACACACACTTTGAATAATTATAAAGGCAGTGATTATTAAAATATATTTCATTTTCAAAATTGAGCTATCAGCTGTTAAAGTGGATATACATTTTTTGGGGATACCCTGTATATCCTCTGAATTTTTAACCACATGTGCCTGTATTATCTCTCCACAAAAGTAAATAAAATTTAAACGCCTATAAATAAATGAGTACATAAGTAGAAAAGGAAGCAGGGAAAGGAAAAATAAATGAGGGGAAAATGATACTTTGTTTACACGTCAAATTTAATAATAAACTAAAGAACTATTAAAATTTTTTGGTTTCACTAGAATTAGGTAAGCACTGGATACTTGTCAAATAAGTGGTCCTAAGGTTTGGGTATCTTTGTGGGACTAAAATTCTATCCATAATGACTGCAATCTTCATTACCTTTAGGAGTTTCTTCATTTACAACTTGAAAATGTGGAGATTTTGGATTCCAACTCCCAGTGATAACATAAGACTTTCCATCTGAACTTTTGCCCATAGATTCCTAAAGAAAAGAGTAAAACAAACATGAATGCCAAAGTAAGGAAACAACAGCGAACCCCCACTTTGCTGCCTTTAAAAATATAAGAATGAGAATCAAAGAGGTTTTTTTAATGGTAGAAGTGTATTTGAATAATTACAGTTAAAATTAAAGATGTTCCAATTATTTCTGCAATTGTTCCTGAAAACGTATACATAAATGCCATAAATCGTATCAACCTGTATAAACATTAGAGAAATTTATTACCTAAACCTGTATGTTGAATTCTTCTGTCAAATGATTAATTACTACATACATTTAGAATTGAAAATATTACATATAATAGAACTAATACTAATACTACCTACTTTTATAAAGCTCATGATAGTTTGCAAACAATTCTCTCACAACTTTTCTCCATTGATTCCCACATCAACTTTACATAATAAACAAAAATTATTCACTGATACAGTTAAGAAGCTAGTAAATATCAAGTCAGAAATAAATGTCCGTATCTTTATTGCTTTACAGCTTACAAGAACACCTCATAAATGTGCTTTAATTTTAGATTCAAATAAGATAAAGTGAAACGATCTTTATTGAAGAAATAGTGTATAACTTAAAGAAAAAAAAAGTCCTTACCAAATCTAATAAGTGCATGTCACTATTTCGTACATCCTTTCCTGGGCTAAGGAGAAGACCAAAACACCTGCAAAGAAAGAACTGACATAAATTTGGAAAAAAGAACACAAAAAAGATGTTTAAAAAAATTCTTACTGGTGGAGAAAAAGGACACACTAAAATTAACAATAAATTACTATTGCCAAAATAATCCCCCTTACTTCATTAATTCAGAGAAGCATATTCTATGTTTGCCTTCTATTATCACATAAAGTAAGCATACTTATGAATGATTTATGGAAGTTATTTCAAAGTGAATGAAATAGGCTCTGGCCAGGTAGCTCAGTTGGTTAAGAGCATTGTCCTAATATGCCAAGGTTGCAAGTTCAATCCCTGGTCAGGGCACATACAAGAAGCAACCAATGAGTAAGTGGAATAACAAATTACACCTCCTCCCCACCTTCCTCTCTAAAAATTAAAAGAAAAGAAAAATTTAATTACAAAAAAATCCAAGTGAATAACCAAAAGAATTTCCATGGGTATAAAACATTTGCAAATATATATTTTTTCTCATTGAAGTATAAATTTTTAGAGAGAGAAGGGAGGGAGGGAGGGCGAGAGAGGGGGAGTGAAACATCTATAGGCAGCCCACCCAGGGATCAAACCAAAACCATTTGGTGTATGGGGACAACACTTCAACCAACTGAGCCACCCAGCAAGGATGCAAATACATTTTTGAATACAGTATGTTACTCCACTAGATTGATAAAAACTAAAGTTTATATTTAAGCTAAATTTACAAGAAATGCTTACCTTTCAATGGCAAGTTCTTTATTAGTTGTTTGTTGCACATAGATGACAATCTTTTTATCAATTCCTTGGCGTAGTTTAAAGCATTGTCTGTCCTTATCTTTAGGAACTGCACTGTAGAACAACATAATTCATTATTTTTGCAAAGTATTTTCTTGTGACATATACCAGAACACTTTTTGTTATATTACGAAAACCAGGTACAAGAAAGAATCACAGATTCTATTCTTTTTTTGCGTCTGGTTTTCATATCATAACAGATTTTTCTAGACTCCTTTACTAAAATTCACCGATTTTTTAAATCTGTGTTATAAAATGTCCTTAAATTGGTTATTATGTAAATGTAGAGAAGCTTCAAGCTAATTTTATTTCTTCATAGCTACCTTTTAGTTTGAGTAGATATTAAGAACTCTCATGTAGCCTTTTATAGTATCTCCTACTAGTTCTGTTGCCATTAACTTGAAGTTTACAGTAATAAGACAATTTAAGATTTGCTGCATATTGGCTGCATCTGCCCCTTGATGTGAAAATAACATCATTACTGTATACTGTATGTAATCCACTAAATCATTTATAAAAGCTAGAAAAACCACTCCTCCATCCCCTAAAATGTGGCTTTAGTTTTTTTTTATTTTTGTTCCTGTAAAAATTAAGTATTTATAAAGCACCTAGCATCCAGCACACAGCTGCTCAAAAAAAAGTTAAGCTTTCTTTCCTTTCTTTTTAGTCACTGGTTTTGACAAATAAATTATTATTGCCTTATTTGTTTAAATATGTAAGAAAATATACTTAATCATAGATTCTTTGAATTTCGAATCAAGGTGCTTTCAAAAAATCAGGGAAGAAGAAGATAGGGCCAACAGGAAGATGTTGCCTATCACTTCCTTAGGCAGTGATAAGCTAATTGTAAACCTGTTTAATACAGGCATACATCATTTTATTGCACATTGCTTTATTGTGCTTTGCAGATAATGCATTTTGAAGGTTTGTGGCAACTCTGCATCAAGCAATTCTATTGGCACCATTTTTCCAAAAACACTTGTTTACTTTGTATCTCTGTGTCCCATTCTGGTAACTCTTGAAACATTTCAAATTTTTCATTATTATTATATTTGTTATGGTGACCTGTGATCAGAAATCTTTGATGTTACTAATGTAATTGTTTTGGGACACCACAAACTGCACCCGTATCAGATGGTAAACTTAATCGATAAATGTTACGTGTTCTCACTGCTCCACCAACTGGCCATTCCCGTCAGAACTCCCTATTTCCTGAAACACATATTGAAAGTAGTCCAATTAAGGACCCTATGGTGGCCTCTAAGTGTTCAAGTAAAAGGAAGAGTCACAATCTCTCACCTTAATTCAAAAGCTCTAAATGATTACACTTAGTGAAGAAGGCACATTGAAAGCAGAGACAGGCTAACACCTAGGCCTCTTGCACCCAACAGCTAGCCAAGTTATCAATGCAAAGGAAACATTCCTAAAATAAATTAAAAGTGCTACTCCACATGAATGATAAGAGAGCAAAACAGCCGTATTGCTGATATGGAGAAAGTTTAGGGGGTCTGGACAAAAGATTAACCAACCACAACATTCCCTGAAGCCAAAGCCTAATCCCAAGCAAGGCCTTAACTTTGTTCAAATCTATAAAGGCTTACAGAGGTAAGAAAGCTTTAGAAAAAAAGTCTGAAGCCAGCAGAGGTTGATTCATGAGGTTTAAGGAAAGAAGCCATCTCCGTAATAAAAGTGCAAGATGAAGTAGCAAATGCTGTTATAAAAGTTGCAAGTTATCCAGAAGATCTAGCTAAGATAATTAAGGAAGGTAGCTCCACTGACCAACAGATTTTCAATGAAGATGAAACAGCCTTATATTGGAAGAAGGTGCCATCTAGGGCTTTCATAGTTAAAGACGAGAAATCAATGCCTGGCTTCAAAGCTTCGAAAGACAGGCTGACTCTCTTGTTAGGGGCTAATGCAGTTGATGACTTCAAGTTGAAGCCAATGCTCATTTCCATTCCAAAAACCTTAGGGCCCTTAAGAATTATGCTAGCTCTGGCTAATTTGGCTCATTTGGTTGGAGCATCATCCCATGCACCTAAAGGTCACATGTTAGATGCCCACTAAGGGCACATACTCAGGTTGCAGATCCAATCCTCAGTCAGGGTGCCTACAGGAGGCAACAGATCCATGTTTCTCTCTCACATCAAAGTCCCCCCCCCCCACTCCCTTCCTCTGTACTCTATACATAAAACAACAAAACCTAGATAACAACATATCTGTTTACAACAGAGTTTAATGATTATTGTAAGCCCACTGTTGAAATATCCTGCTCAGAAAAAAGATTCCTTTCAAAATATTACTGGTCACCCAAGAGCTCTGATGGAAATGTACAATGAGATTAATGTTGTTTTCATGCCTATGAACACAACATCCATTCTTCAGTCCATGGATCAAGGAGTTATTTCAACTTTTAAATCTTATGATTTAAGAAAACACATTTTGTAAGACTATACCTGCCAGACAGTGATTCCTCTAGTGCACTGGTTCTCAACCTTCTGGCCCTTTAAATACAGTTCCTCATGTTGTGACCCAACCATAAAATTATTTTCGTTGCTACTTCATAACTGTAATGTTGCTACTGTTATGAATCGTAATGTAAATATCTGATATGCAGGATGGTCTTAGGCGACCCCTGTGAAAGGGTCGTTTGACCGCCAAAGGGGTCGTGACCCACAGGTTGAGAACCGCTGCTCTAGTGGATCTGGGCAAAGTAAATTGAAAACCATATGGAAAGTTCACCATTCTAGATTCATTAATAACATTCATGATTCAAGGGAAGAGGTCAAAATGTCAATGTTAACAGGAGTATGAAAAAAGTTAATTACAACCTTCCTGGATGACTTTGAGGGGTTCAAGATTTCAACGGAGAAGATAACTGCAGATGTGGTGGAAATAGCAAGAGAATTAGTATTAGAAGTGGAGCCTAAAGATGTGGCTGAATTGCTGCAATCTTATAATAAAACTTTAACTGATAATTGCTTCTTATGGATGAGCAAAGAAAGTGGTTTCTTGAGATAGAAGCTACTCCTGGTGAAGATGCTGTGAAAACTATTGAAATAACAACGAAGGATTTAGAATCCTATCTAATTAAGAGGGAATATGTAAATTGACCATCACTTGAGAGAAACCAAGATGGCGGCATAGGTAAACACCTGAAATTGCTGCCTCGAACAACCACTTCAAAAATACAACTAAAAGACAAAACAGACATCATCCAGAACCACAGGAAGGCTGGCTGAGTGGAAATTCTACAACTAGAAGGAAAGAGAAAAGCACACTGAGACTCAGAGGAGGTGCAGAAGTAAAGTGCAGAGGTACGGAGGCTCGTGAGGAAAGGGCTGACAACTGAGGATGCGGTTGTCTTTTTCAATCGGGAGGGAGACAAAAGCTCCCGACTGCTCTGAACTCCAGTTCCAGGCGAGTCTCTGGGGACCCAGACTCA